CGTGCTGGGGAAAGGGTGGAGAGGTTTGGGGCTTCTCTTCCAATCTCTCTCAATTGTGAGAATTTGGAGTAACTTTGAGATTGTCTTCTCCACTGTCCCCAGTATCTTCAAGGGTTTGTGTGTTACATACTCTGGCCTGTGTCCACTCTGGCTACTTAGAAAACTGTCATTGTGTTACTGTTGTTGAGAATATTATCAAAACATGACTTATCTGACTGGCATCCACCATTTACTAGATCTTCAAGTACAGAAATATTTGCTATAGCTTCTCTGTCCCAGAAAGGTAGTGGACTTTTGGCTCCACCTGCACCTCTTAAATCCTGGATAGGTTTCAGTCCAGGTTAGGAATATGACCGTATAACCATGTAAGCAGGTAACCGATAAGCCTGGACTTACTGGTTAATCGTTTAAATATCTATACACTAACATCCCTACTATTAGCAAGAGAGATAAAGCTGGCATATTGCTTAAAACATGTGGCCAATACACCCCAGTGATGCCAAAAGAACATTATTTCCTTTTGAGAAACCTCCAGTTCTCCTGCCACAAAAAATGAAACAGAAGGCAAGAATGTGTGACGTAAAATCATCATTATCTGTTTAGCAATTATTAAGCCATGTACACAAGATTATTTACTTAGACACGAGTGAGTCTTAAGATACAGTTCAGAACAAACCAACGATTCATGGATTTGAAGGCCAAAAAGGCTCATTGTAATCTAGCCAAAAAGTTTGAAAACCACTGCCCTAACCTGAAGCAAATTCTTTCAAACAGCCACACATCACACCTCAGACACACTCACCCAGGAACCTACCCCTGCAACAAACCCCCAATGCCAACTCTGTCCGTACACCTATACAAGTGACAGCATCACAGGACCTAACTACATAAGCCACAACATCAGGTCATACAACTGCACATCCTCTAGTCATAGGTCATTGATAAAAATTATTAAATTGCACAAAAACTCCTGTAGGACCTCAATGGAAATACAGCTGCTTGATGGTGATTCCTCTTTATAGTTAGATTGAGACTTAATAATTAGCCTGTTTTAGTCAATTTAACTGATACCATGATAATTTTATTGTATTCATCTTTTTAAATCAGTGGCATGCAGTACCAAGTCAAGTGCCTTACAGAAACCTAAATATCAACAGTACCTTAAAAAACTAAACCTGCAATTTCATAAACACAGATCTTGAGTTACAAATCAGCAATTGGTTTATGGAAAAAAGTGTATCAATTAGATTACTCTCCTTTAATTCTTTAGTAAGTGAATGCAGCATCAACTACTCCAATATCTTGCCTATGATCAATTGCAGGCTCACAGGACTATAATTACTCAGTTCATCCTATTCACCTTTTTAAAAAAAGTTGCCACAACATTTACTGCTTTTCAGTTGTATGAACTTTCCCAGCACTTCATTCTCTCTTGCCCTCTCTGAAGTCAGGCTCAGTATACTTCCCTCCAACACTGCATTTTTCTTTACTCCATGAGAAGTCAGTGGAAACCCAGATCACAGTTAAGATGCATCTCATCTTCCTTGAGCAGCCTCAATTCCATGGTTTATTGATTAGTACTTTAGTCTTGGAGAAAAAAAACTCACTTAGTCCTAGACCAGACAATTTAGCTATTTGTGCTCACGTGGCTTACAGACAAGGGCGTTACACAATAGGTTAGCAACAGAAGGAGAGGGAAGCAAGTAACCGGGGAGCAGGGCACGGTGCAGG